CCCCCCCCTCCTTCTTGTGTTTACTTTTGCTCTGCATGATTTCATTCGGCTCAGGTGAAGCATAAATGCTAATCGATTCGTGTTCTTCCAGCCATTCGCTTCGTTATTATTTTTCCCGTTTAGTTATTTATGCTTAAGGTGGAAATAGTAATATATTAAGACTCCTTTTTTTGGTTATAATTATGATCGATTCCTATTTGTCCACCTTTTAGAGCCCAGGGACAAGGTCCTAGGAGTTGCCTATCTACAGTTGGGAATGGCGGATGAACTGGCTTTCCTCAAAGATGGTGATTATTCGCTTTTTATTCATAAGGTAATTTTTTGTTTGGTTTTCAAAATATACGCCATTGTTTAAACGAGAAAAATTCACCCTTGAGTAGGGCTATCAATTTCTCGAGGTCTTGGGGTCATGCTTTTTCCTGCTGTCACACATTAGAAAGTCAATTATTTTTATCTGAAGTAATTGTTACTAACTTCTGATGGAAAAGCAATTCCAAAATAGCATTGAATTAGTGGAAATTGCGTAAATGTGACATCAGAAGATTTTCATTAGTTCAAACACTCAAACATGTATTAAAAAAGTATTGAAATTCTTTACCATACTGTTTTTCCATATTCTCATTCACTATTTCAGTAGTTCGTTTGGACTCAAAGTCTTCATACTAGGGTAAATCGCAAATCCTTTAAAAAAGAAATGTTCCTCTGATTCCAAGCTTGGCATTAGTCTGTTACCCTCTTCTACTTTTCCCTTGGGCATTTCTTCTAGTTAACTTTTCCATTTTTTTTTGTTGACTTGACCTATACTGATGACTATACCTAACTCAGAACCTCTGACGTAGTAAACGTGTATATTGGTGACTATGCAACTGTCTCGCTTATGGAAAATGCCTTGAATAAGCTCTCTATCAACTCTGTAGGTTATTGAACGGAGGTTCGTTAAAAAAGTAGACCCTATTTAATGGTGTTTGGCAATTGTGAGTTTCCTCGAATATTATTGTCCATTCTTGTGGCTGTCTATTGGCTGTTCATCCCGTCTCATAATATCTTTCTGCTGTAGTAATTGTAGCTTCCAATCCCATTTAGCATTTCGTTTCCTTTGGTCACTTCAGATATAGGGTGTGGCATTATGAAGCTCCCTTAGCGAGTGACTCGAATTTCATCACCCTTACTGTTAGTGTGGCTGGGAATCGAACCCGTTACCTCTAGCATGGCGCATTGATCAATACGCCATCTACATGCATCAGCTTACTATTTATTAAGCTGACTCTGCCCCGGTTTGCTGTAGTCTTAACCCCTGCATTTGAAAGTTGAACGTAATTTAGTATTTTTAAAAACCGCTTAACCCAAATCAACTCACTTCTCTTCTATGACTGAATTGAAAACTCTGTTAAAACCAGTGTCCTGCCTATTGTGTGCTAATGCCACATCGACTTGGTGAGCTGAGTGTGCAGTCAGAAGTCGTGATTTAGATGTCCATCGGCTAGCATCCAGTATGCAGGACAAATATTTGCACTAGTTAAGTTCGGCAAATACAGAGACCGATGAAATGTCATTTCTCCACTCGAGGGCTTCATGATACCATCCTCTTGGCCCAAGGGAGGGGGTGGGGGCTTTGAAAGCGCTTATCTAATTGAACTTGTCCAGTTGATACCATCAGTTAGGTACATACTTAAGTGGTAAATAAGTGCGTGCCCATTAGTATCTCCATCTCGATTATAAAATTCGATAATTTGCTACAATTGAATCGAACTCATGCCCAGCTGACCACCGATGAATTGGGAATAAAAAAATCCCAACTCATTTGAAGCTGTTTATTCCTCGACCATAAATGCGTGCGCGCGCACACACAAGCATATATCTTTTCGGATCATGTTCCGTATTAACAGTAACAATCATTTAATACTGTCCATTTTATTTAACGGTCGCTTGACTTGTAGGCCATTGGTGTTTTTTATCTCTAACATCATCATCATCATCTCTGCTGCGCTTACACGCGAATGTAACCACCTTGGGTGTCCCACTATACCGTAATTTATTGCAGTTATTCAGGCAGTCGGTTATTTGGTGAAAGAATAAACAGTACTTATTTGAATTACCCTTGGAGAAAAGGTGTTTGGAGGTAAAATGCAAAAAATGTCAATTCGGCTTGCTGCTCCTTTTGGTCTTACGTCATCTTTGGTAGTCTCCCTGGCTTCAGGTTCTCTCGATTTTTAAATCACCTCACATTCAAAATGTGGAGCCTTTCCTGAAAGATTCTTTATTCCATTCATTATATGTTTATTTTGTGGCACAACTGACATTATCCTTTCTCTAACATTATCATTAGCGATGTTGCCCCACTCCCCTGCTTTGTTCATGTTCGGGTATTAGCACCTTGGTTGTCCCGTCATTGTTTATCTCAATTGTCTAAATTGCTAATCGTCCGGACGAAAGGTAAGCAGCCTTAATCCAATGCTACGTCAACGCGTGTGGATTACTTGTGGTGAAAGTTGTTGGCAGAAAAAATGTCTGCAAAACGAATATGCCTTCTTTGAAACTCCTAAGCCCATTTTTGAAAAGTTGTTCCAACTCCAACTTCGAGTAGAGGTGTAGTATCATGATGCCTCCATAATGAGACCTTTGATTTTCTTCCACCTTCACTGGTCCGATTTAACTATTGGTGTTTGGACATTCCGTTCACAGGGTGTGAACCAGTCCGAATGGAATCCGTTACCACGGTAACCGCAGATGATCACATTAACCTTTGCCTCACCAACACACACAATGCGAGTAAACAAATGATCATCCCCCGACCCACTATATATTCCCCCCCCCCATTATTTGAACTATACAATATTTCGGCGATCGTCAATGCACTTGAGGTGGGAGTAAAGAAAGCCAACCGAATCACGAATTAGGTATAAATTTATTGATCTAGACGTCGTAACTTAGAGAGGCTTATGGTAAAGGGGAGAAGAATGAAACAAAGTGTGAATTCGTTGTAACATTTTTTCATTAACATGAAATTTCGCTGAGTATCAGGTCAAATAGATACTGTCTGTTAGCATTGATTTACTTGCTACTTATAGGGCAAAATATCAGTAACTTCAGCCTTTTTTAATAGGGCTTAATTTACTATTAATCAATGGGATATGATATTGTTTGTATGCCCTGACTTTTTTTCACATGCTAACTGATTTTAATTTTGTTTCGGGGAGTATATACGCGTTTATTCGCACCAAAGTCTCATTCTTTGGAGCAATACACAAATTTCATACTTCAGAGATAGATGGGCGTGTGAAGAAACTGCACTTGGCCATTCCCACCAAAGTCGTGACTTTTGACTTCAAAGACTCCAGCATGTTACTCACTCTGTGTCAATCAAACATAATGCCCAACCCCCCCCCCCTTATTTCATTTTGAAACCATTTCCATTCGATACTTGTATGAAAGAAGCTAAAAAGTCGCGCAGTGGTTAAAGGGCTCATTTGTATTCGTTTCCCATGCCAAGTGAAAGGAATGACCAATCGGACTGGTTGTGTGTCCGATTAAGAAAAGAAATGGTTTGATTCGAGTTTTATCACCTCGGAGGTTTCATGATGCTACTCCGCCTGAATGGGCCTAAGAGTTATGCTATCGACATGGCATGGACCCTTAGGAATACTTTTCCGAAAATCCGCCCAGTGCGGTTTAAAGGATAATCCTCATTTCATGGAACTATTTCTTGGACCTAAATAACCCGATATCAAGGCAGAATTAAGTAGATTTCTCCTTAACTTATATATCGTGCTCTCTATATTACTTGCTATAATTATAATTGTAATGGTAATAGTAAAAATAAAAAAAAACAAGCCCATCCGTGTAGGGTTGAAATTTGAGGGGAGAGCCAAGTGGGTGTGCGATAGACTTACCTCCACGTGGTGCACCCTGGAAATATGCCTTCACTATCAACATCTTATTTGGAAGCGGAGGGGTGTGTGCGATAGACTTACCTCCACGTGGTGCACCCTGGACAGCGTGCGATAGACTTACCTCCACGTGGTGCACCCTGGGCAACTTTGCGATAGACTTACCTCCACGTGGTGCACCCTGGGCAACGGATACTCATACGGCAAAAAAGCCTATTAACTGGCAGTTGATTTCCGACTTCAAACCACCATGACCCCACTGTTTGTCATATTTGACTACTTCCATGTTACTCGCCTCACCTTTTTGCTACCTTTGTGTCTGTCTCTTTTACATCTTTGAATCACTCTTCTGTCTCCCCCCCCCCCCCNCTTCAAACTACCCTCACCCCATTGTATGCCATATTCGACAACTTCTACACTACTCAACTCACCTTTTTTCTACCTTTGTCTGTCTGTCTCTTTTACATCTTTGAATCACTCTTCTCTCTCCCCCCTCCCCTCTCGACATTTTTTCCTCTTTGATGTTCCATCCCCTCTGTGGAGCCTGAAGTCCACTAAAGGGCTAATGATAACTATCAAAACGCCTGCCATTTGATATAAATAAATAAATAATATTACTTGCTTTAATTTTAGATGGACGAGCAGGAAATCGCTGAATGCAAGTATCTACACAAGGAGTCGATAGCTTCTATTGGCGCAGGTAGCATCAATAGTTCGGGGAGTAGTGGAGGTAATAAGAGCTCTGGTCTTGTCGGCAAGGCAGAAAATGGATTCGCCGGACATGGTTCTGTGGCTGCATCTCTGCTCAATTCAGTGGCGAGCAGCTTCACTGGGCGAGGAAGCAAACAACCGGACACTCTGAATATCACAACTCTACTATGCAGCAATCAGTACACAACTGACGGTATGTTAACTGTTAATGCAAGTAGCATTTATTGATTTTAATTAGTACTAATGGATGTATTGTAGGTGATCTACAAGTCCTCGTATTAAGACTCCGATTTTCGGATTTTTTTAGTTCTAAATGAAATATTTATCGATTTATATGTACTACAAATGTTTTTTTGGGGATTTAAAGAACATTGTGGACTGGGGGAAAAACTGAACAAGCCATAGTAGCCATGACCGAAAGAAGTTTGGGGCAGAGCCATAATCGTCTCATGAATGCCTAAAATCTGCCTATAATAACGTATATCCGTGTTTTTGGGTGTAGCATTGTATTTATGTGGCATGAAACCAACCCCATATTCACCTCTCTCTCTCTCTCTCTCTCTCTCTCTCTCTGGGAGTCTCTGTAAAGCTGGGATGAGTCTCTCCCTTTCTCCCAAACTTAAATCGATTGAATATTTCTATGTTTTATTAATTTTTTAGTAAAAAAAGGAATAGTGAATTAGTGGGAGTAGTTCGAGTTACCTGAGATGACATAAAACGTTTTCCTTTTCTAGTAAACATCACATCCCTCTGCAATTTATTGCTCTTATTTCGACTTTTTCCTTTCCGGTAAGCGCCACTGATGATCCACTTTTAGGAGGTTCTTTGCTGAATATTTGGACGATAATTATTGTGAAAATTGGGATATATCTTGATTTGTTTTCTTTTTACCATACTTTGTATGACGAGGGTCGCCGTAATGGGAAGGTCCGATCACCTTCCACCGACGTAAAGTCTTTTACCGTCCTCCCTTTTTAGAGGATGGCTTCTATTTGTGCGGAAGTACTTTAAATGTGACCCATTGTTGTTAATTTTCCAATACGCTTGAAGATTGGACTGTTTACATAGTCCACAAACGGATTATTTGTTACTAGAAATAAACCTTGTGATTGCAGTGTTCATTTTCAATTCCGCTCCAAACCTTTTTAACCCAAAAATATATTTATATTAAATGACAGGCTTTACGATAGTTACCAATGCACTTTTAGTTGACTTCGGGTTTCACAGATAGGCGGAACAGGCAGTCACACAAAGCCGAGTGATGGGAACGGAGGGGTATTTCACGAGTGTAAAGAGACGGACACAAAGGAAAGGTGAATACTGCAGAAGTAGTCGAATATGGCATACAGTGTGGTCATGGAGGGTTGATGTCAGAAGTCAACTGCCGGTTTATAGGCTTTTTAACATGTGAGTATACGCTAATCAGGGTACTTCATGTGGGGGTAAGTCGATCGCGCTCATCACCCAAAGGTTTGTTTATTTATTTCAAATGGCAGGCGTTATGATAGTTGTCATTGGCCATTTAGCTGACTTCGGGCTTCACAGAGAGGAGGAGCATCAAAGTGACGAAAATTTGAGAGGAGGACAGAATAATGATTCACAGATGTAAAAGAGACAGACACAAAGGTAGAGAAAAGGTGAGTTGAGTACTGTGGAAGGAATCGGATATGACATAGAGTGGGGTCATGGCAGTTTGAAGTCGGAAGTCAACTGCCGGTTTATAGACATTTTTGCCGTATGAGAATACGTTGCCCAGGGTGCACCACGTGGAGGTAAGTCGATCGCACACCCCACCCAAAGATATATAGACAACCGTAATTNTGCGATAGACTTACCTCCTAGGCAACGTATACTCATACGGCAAAAAAGTCAATTAACTGGCAGTTGACTTCTGACTTCAAACTACCCTCACCCCATTGTATGCCATATTCGACAACTTCTACACTACTCAACTCACCTTTTTTCTACCTTTGTCTGTCTGCCTCTTTTACATCTTTGAAACACCCTCCCTCTCCTCCCCCATCCCCTCCCGACATTTTTCACTTTGATGTTCCTCCTCCTTCGTCTGTGAAGCCTGAAGTCAACTAAAGGGCTAATGATAACCATCAAGACGCCTGCCATTTGATATAAATAAATAAATAATAAACCACTTAGTTATTAGATCAACTAAAAATCTGCTAATGTTCTTAGAACAGAATTCTATCCCCTTTCATCAGTCTTTTGCAAACCCTAGTGAGACTAAATACGTGTGAAAATCTTTTGGCAGTGTGTCTACCTGATCTGCACAATTTCATCCACCCTTCCAACGACCTTGAACCTCGCGGACCAGAACACACTCCGCGAAACCAAATCTTTGAACACTATGGCTGCAGCGGAATACAGTGGATAGAATGATTCAGGAGTATTTCATGTAGTCTCATGAGTATTTCAAAGATGGCAGTGTTGGCAGGAGACGTGGAAAGAAAAGAGGGAAAAATTCCAAAGTGGTAAGTGGAAAGAATTTTTCCTTTGAATGATTCATGACACACATACACACACACACACACATAGATATATATATATATATATGCACCTTAGAAGACCAGAAGAAAAATCTTTGCCATCTGACTTTTGCTGCGGTGGTTTGTAGGCGAAAAAAAGTAAGATACTTTGCCATTTTCTCCTTGTAGAATTAGCAGAATGAGGGAGTCAGATTTCATGAATCAATGATTCAACAGAGGATTTCATAGCGTATCAATGGAGCTTGAATAGGAATAAGTGCTAGTCTAAGAAAGGGAATTGATCTCAGAACTTTAGGGTTCTTCAAATGGCGATTCCTTCCCTAAAATCGGGGATAGTTGCGAAGACGCTATCGATGTGAACGTCTTGTAAGCTCCAGTAAAGTCACTTTCAAGGACGTAAGGCGATTTACTCATAAGAGTTCTCAACTATGATCTTAAACAGGCGAGAGAGTACAAAATAGATGGTAGATTATGGATTATTATTCTACCACAGAGTACGTTACACCATCTTGCCATATGAAAAAGAAGTAGAGTTTCCTTAATCTACCCTCAAAGAGAATGAAAAGGAGAGAGGACTAGTTTTAGCATCAGCCGTTTCAATTCTTTCAACAATTCATGATTAACTCATTAATCAATTCGTAACTTCGTTCGCCCAATAAGCACTGGCCATCATCGGCAAAAAAGTAAACTTTTTAAGTTACTCGAACCAAAAATTTAAATGATACGGCTTTCAACACCCCCCCCCTATCAACC